TGTCGATTTTGATTTCGGTAATCGAGCAACGTAGAGGTGAGCAATGTGGGCACGTACCTATTGTACGGACATGTGATATAATACATGTTTAAGTATAGATATACTTAGCTTAGGTACAACTTAAAGGTGCTGGGAAATTATACTAACGGTCATCTACGAAGTCTGTATATACTTACAATGGTTTGTTCTAATCAATTATTTGTAATTGGGTCTAATCCCTTTCGCTCTACTAATTCGATTTGAGCTGAGAAATTATTCGTAATATGAAAACATCTCAATAAAAAGTATGAAGAATCTTGAATATCAAAACGTTGAGCTTACGTGGCAGCAGTTTTGGTGACTTTAAAACAGTTTCTTTAAGTCGTAAAGTGCTCGTTAACTACTATTGCAAATTCTGAAATGAGGTTTATTAAAAACATTATGTTTTCGTATAAATTACAGGGGCTACAAAAATGAATTTATTTTAAGAACTTAACGAAAATTACTTACATTCTTACTCACATTTGTAGGAACGTAGATCCAGTATACCTAATTATTGAGTGCTCAATTGGCTACTTACCAACTAGTCAAATTCAATACATTTTTCGAACTGTCAAAAACGATAGTTTTCTATGAATTTTGTACGAGATTGTGTATTATAGTAGTACCTATATTTATTTCTTAAAAAATTGCTGGATAGATACTAAAATTAAGTTGGTCATAAAATCAATTAATGGAAGTATGATTATTTTTCAATATTTTATTGTATTGAACAGGCGATTATTGATTAAGGAAAATACCTAATTCAACGTGTTTCTGTCAATACCAATCAAGCATAACTCCATCTGACACAGATTAAGAACATGTTCAACACTGTCAACAAAAGTGTAAAAATGATTTCATAACTTGAGCAGTAATAATTTCATAATTTGCCAGTTTTACAGTAAACATTAACAGTTGTGAGTAACATACGTAAGTACATGTATAAATGTATTTACTTCCGATACTCCACCGCCCCTGCCCTGCACAGTTGACTACAAAGACTATGAAAATAAATGACCAAATCAGTTGTAAATTACTCACTCAAAAGTAAATTTTATTCGTTTAGGATAGTAATGGTGCCTACAAGTAAGTCTGTCTTATGGCAACATTCTTTTAATCATGAGTAAGTACAGGTCGTGTGAATGACATATAGGTTCATGTCATACAGAGTAATTATAACGGTAGGTACTTACATATAATAACTGTACATTGAAAAATTGTATACTCTATTTTAATTGTTCTGTTAATGTTATCAATACCGCGAATTGTCAGCGGGAGCCTCAGTGAGGCTTTAAGAGTTTGTCTCCGCAGAAGTAATCATTGTGTGGGGCGTGGTCGTCGATCAGATTGCGAGCCTCCGCCCGCGCCCGCGCTTGCTATTTGCATAGTTAACGAGCACCCCCTCCTGCCTGCCTGCCCCCCCCCGTCGCCCTCCACGCCTCACAACCCTCGTCTACTGCTGGCTGCCAGGCTCGGGTTCTCGTGAATCCTAACTGTATTGGAACCTTACCTAACCGTACATAGACTTGCATACTCTCCCATGATGACTCCAAAAAAGTCACAAAATTATAATAACTTACTTATGATGACTTACTTATGTGTTGCAAATGTCTTTTTTCAAACAAGTAACTTAAGTTTTTTATAAATAGCTCGGAGCGATCAGATTAAAAGTTTGCTTATCGTACCTAACAATACAAAAGGTTTTTGTGAAATTGTAAAATTTTATGAACTATTTATTTATAAGGATAAAAACTAAGAAATAAAATGCACACATACCTGCCTTGACTTTCGTTTCGCGAAATTTATCACATTATTTTCCTGCAAACTTTACCCTACACTTGCCGAACAAATAACATAATCATTCTGTTAGAAAAGAGGTGGAAACTTATGTATTTCAAAAATACAACGACAAACTTTAAGAAGAAAATTATTAGAACGAAAGTTATTAAACCTCAAATTAACAAAGAAATATTTTTTGCCAGGACAAATGTATTGACGGTCTGACGAATCTCGGGCAAAAGAGCTATACTACCTTCAAAAATTCTCAACAACACTTATTACCTAAGTACTAAGTAGCCAGGCCAGGCATGCTCCATAATTATGTCCGGCGTCCGGCGTCCTGCGGTGCGTCACGTTCCGCACATGCCTCAAACAGCCATCAGACCATCACAGATGGGGCCCAATAGGGCTGATGCCCGATATGGAGCCGCGGAAGGTCTAACGGGTTGCCGGGGCTCCTCCAGCTCGAAGAGTAGGTGTAGAAACGGGGTAGTTTTTAGTCAGTAAGAGTCTGACACTCCCTCCGCCTAACCCAAGTCATTGGGTGATTTTACTAAGGTACTCAAAAAAGAAATGGCTTGCTCCATTGACGGCAGTCGCTCTCGCTACGTCATCGCGAAGCACTAGGTAAGTCGGTGGCCAAACGAGTGACAATTAATTTTATTTAAAAAAAAAACATATAGACAATAAGTTTTAAAAGTTCACTAATTAACATTACGCCTTTTAATTCTTAGAAGGGCCGGTGAAGGTGAAAACTGAATTGCTGCGCCCTAACAGGGTAATGTACTGAATTAGTTGTATGTAATACTTCTTATTATATGTACATTGTGCAATATGAATAAATAAATAAATATATTGTAAATAAACACTCACTTTAATATTAGATGAAACTCTTTCTTTTAAACGGCATCTGAGCGTTTTAAACAGTAGATTGCGTAAGCTCATATTTGTGTTCAAAAAGCTGCGTTATATTGCTGACCCAAAAATAATCAGACAGGTATATTTCTCCTTGTGCCAATCAATATTGACTTACTGTATTACCTCTTGGGGTGGTACGGATAAGACTCTACTGCTTTCCACTGAAAGAGCCAAAGAGCGATTTCAAGTGTCTACGGGCCGATCTTTTCTTTACCCTACTAACCTTCTATATAGTTCTTGTAAAGTACTAACAGTCCGCCAGCTTTTTATTATGAGCACGGTACTAAAACAGCATGCGGCTTTTCCATACAATCCTGAGATAACCAAAAAAAGGCGAAGAGATATTGTTTGCCCAACCAAAAGTACAAAGCACGCTTTTATTACCAAATTTTTTGTATTTCTTGGACCACTCCTATACAATAGACTAAATGCAACCTTATGGATTTACCCCCATAGCATCCGTAACTGTAAGAAAATTCTAAAGGAAGCCCTTCAAGACATGTCCTATGAAGACACAGAGAAGTTATTATTAGTTCCTAAATAATACTTAACGTAAGCTCCTAATCTCTAATTTATATACTACATACATACTCTTATATACATATTAAGCATAGAATTTAAGTATTACTTTATATCAGTATGCATAACTAAATATTGTCATAATTTACCTTAACTTATAAGCATTTAAGTACTAGTGATTATATAACAATGTCTATTACTGTTACCTAACCTCGCCTGAAACACAGGATGTCCTAGTTCAGGCACCTTATATTGTGAACTTTATATAGCTTTAAGCAATACTGTACATTTCTAGACTATTTTGTTTGAAAATAAATTTTTATTATTTATTTATTTATTTATTTACTTTTATCCAGTTATTTTGTTCATCCCTTGCGTAGTTACGTAAATCTATTACTGTGCCGACTGTGCGCCATCACTAAGAATTTTCAAAGAACTTAGAAAATCCAGTGAGAATCTAATAGGTTTACTTTGCTCGACACGGAATCGAGTCCAAAACCCACAGTACTGCTGTAAGTTACGCTGTCTTGACTCAATAACCGTTCAAGTGACAATCACTTGACCGATCATTGATCATGATTCATGAAAGATTATTTTATTTACCTAAACACTTAAATAGAAATATCTACCTGTGTACCTATTTGCCATTTAGATTATTCTTCTCTGAAACTGAATTTAGACAGTGCCCCTGCGCTTATTCAGGATTTTTCATTCAGCCGGATCATTTACGGGAAATTGCCAATTTTCAACACTCCCGGAAAACATTCCAAGCATAACTATCACTGAACTAGTATAACAGTAGTCTGTAAAATTTTAGAAAGTACCTACCTAATAACTCGGTCTCACATTGGTATTTGCCAGGTTTCGAACTCGCAACCTCATGCATGAAAATCGGGTGTCGTACACGTCAGTCCACCAGGACATTTTTTCATTTCCTTCGTCTGATATTATATTTTGTTATCAAATAAAATATAATTCCTACATTGTACCTATAAATAATATTCAATCGTACTCAATGTTATCAATTGCCAACAGACCTGTTGCGCCATCTACTGGAAAAATGTGGTACGACCAAAGAGTATCTTTTGGTTGGCAGTTGGATAAAGTTATCGAGTGCGGAGGAAAGACATTGAAAGAATAGCTCCGAGAGAGGCGCTCGTGTTTCATTTCCATGAAATCTACTTTTCATTTAATTCGATTATATTATTAACTATCTAAAAACAAGCGTGTCTAAAAAAAGTAAAAATAAATATTCTGCAGAAAAAAGTGTACTCTGGCAACATTAAAATATTTGACGTTTTGAAAAACGTATATTTAGACTCGTTGCCAATTAAAAATATGTAAAATGTTATCTTTTAATTTATAAGATATTGTATCGTTATTTGTATTCTGTTAATTGTAACTTATTGATAATAATATCACTGAATCTTTAGAAGAAATATTTTTCTGGTTTAGGACAAATAGCTACGTTCTGTAACTCGTCATTGACTGGTTCGTTCAGCAACTTTCATTCGTTTCATTCTTTACATTCAATCGTTCTACATGAATGACCATTACCATTCTTTAAAAAATAACAAAGCTGGTTCATAGATTCAATGATCAAATTATGACCAATGTATGGCATTCAACTTGTGCAACGAACGTACACGCCCAGCGAAGTTAGAATCGCAAAGTAAATAGAAAACATTAACTATGAGAATATTCTGATAGTTTATTGAATTTTTTATTTAGTTTATCTTTTCGTTGATAACTAAGCGTGGAGGATGTCTGTGAGTGCTTCGGCCGAAAACCTCTCAACGGACGCACAAGTAAGTTTATCGTATTAAGTTACTAAAATATCGTTTATTTATGTCGTTGTATCAAGTTTGTTAGGTAAAGCTAATGTGGTAATTGGCTCAAATCAATTCAGAGTGTTAATTTTCCATCAGTATAATTGAATAGTGAGTCATTATGTGGGGGAACCTAATACGGAAACTGTGACCTATAAGTGTGGACATCCGCATGCGACGCAGTAATACTATTCCCGCCCCGAACCCGTTTGCGCGTGCGTTGATGTCTGTAGATCCCAGTATTTTCTCTAGACATCAATGACAATACGTAACTTTAACTTAACGTTAAAGTTTAGTAAACATTTGCATACTGCTTGACACTTCGGTTTGATGTCTATCAAACCTAAGTAGAATCAAAGTTAAATATCGTTATAAAAAAATGTTATTTCTTCATGATCAGTTTAGGTCAAACACAATCAGTATAATGATTTCATATAGGTGTGTTGTCATCTTTTGTTTTTGTTTTGTTGTTTAATCTTCAGTGAAACCTTAACTGGTTGTAATTGTATCCCATATCGGTGTATGGGCTAGCACTAGCATTAGAACAAGCACAAATAAATAATTGAAATACATCCATAATCCTATATATTATGTACCCATGTTTGCAAATGATTAAATGAATATGAATATGAACAAACAACTGTATGTAAACAACTTCATGATTTACATATTGCTGTCATTGGCTCATATAAAAATTGTAGACCATGTATATAATTCACAGAGTTTTCAATAAACAAACTACTACTACCACAAGTGATTATTCTCCTTATTTTGCTGTAGACCCACAACCGATATGAATATGTAGAAGTGGAAGCTGTTATTGAAATTAAGTGTCTCGCTCCAATATACAATGACCCCGATCAGACAGAGCAGCCATTTTAATTGGCTAAAGTAGTTATACCACTCATTGTAGATTCATTTCTTTTCCATGTCAAATGATGCATTAATCATAATGCTTAATGAGTCACAAATTGAAGTGAATATTAACTTGTTTACATTTAGTATAGATAACTCATTGAAACTGAGGTCAACGGACAAATATTACCTATTTTATGCCTTTAACAAATAAAGAATAAAAAAAATGTTGTAAATAGAGAGTTATACTTGTCACCATCATTAAAAATCTTTAAAGGTTTGTATCAAGGTATGACTCACCTTATAAGAATATTATTAGGTAGTTCTATAAAGTAAGCATGTATCCACTTTGTTTTACATTTAGAAAAACACACTTACACAATTTATATTTATTTATGAAAGTAATTCTTTAAATTTAATTTGTTATTAGAGTTGTGATGGCGGCTCAATGTGTCTGGAGCTGGCGTTGGAAGGCGAGCGCCTGTGCAAAGCCGGGGACTGCCGCGCCGGCGTGGCCTTCTTCCAGGCGGCTATACAGGCGGGCACTGATGATCTCAGAACGTTAAGCGCTATATACAGTCAACTGGGCAACGCTTACTTCTATTTAGGAGATTATAACATGGCAATGCAGTACCACAAACATGATTTAACCTTAGCTAGGTATGAAACTCATTACATACATATGTTTAGTTTACAATTATATTAAGATGTGACAGATACATTACTTTTTACATTTGTACATTTACAGGACAATGAATGACAAATTAGGAGAAGCAAAAGCCTCAGGGAACTTAGGAAATACGCTTAAAGTGATGGGCAAGTTTACAGAGGCAATACAGTGCTGCAAGAGACACCTGGAGATATCCCGGAGTCTAGGAGACAAGCTGAGCGAAGGGCGGGCGCTGTATAATCTGGGCAACGTCTACCATGCTCAAGGGAAACAGCTTGGTAGAGTTGGACAAAATGATCCCGGACACTTCCCACAAGAGGTGCGCGAGTGCCTCGTGCAAGCAGTTGCTTATTATGAGTATGTATGCAACACAACTGTTCCTTATTTTTATCCAGTAATTGAATTTCAGTTTAATTATACTAAGAGTGACCAATATAACTTGAGCTACTCTACAGCCGCTTGCTATATTCTATTGTACTGAGGTGGGTACACACCAGATACCCAAGTTATTTAATAGATCTTTCCCACCTATACTCCGTCTGTTTAGGTAGTTAACTATTTGTAAACAAACCATAAAAAGAGTTCTTTATAGTTGACATTTCCATGATTCAAAATACTTCATAAGAAAATAAAATTGTTTCCCTTTTTACGACAGTTTTCTATATTAAATGTTATGTTTCTGTTCCTTTTCACTTATTTCTTAGTAAATATTATATATATCTGCTTGAGGATATTAATTTAATAACATTTATTAAATAGTATAACATTTCATTGCAATAGACACCATAAAGAGCCTAAAATCCCAGGTATCCAAAACTTTTCTTTAAGAACGAAGCAAAATAATGTTGTCAAATTAAAGAGTACAACTAAGATGTAGCGCGACAATGAAAGTAGCGTCTATTACGTTTAGTCGGTTAATCAGGCGCCATTGACAGCTCTCTCGTCGTTTGCGCTCGCGTTCCTATTTTGTTGAATTTATCTTGTTTCTTTGTTTTGTTTTTGTTATTAAGTTATTCAAGTTTAGGTTATTCATCGTTTGTAATTAATGTGTTCAAATATATTGAAGAAACTTGGCCCAAAGACACATATCCGTACAAGAAAGAAATCCGCACATCAGATTCAGAATAGTTTCTATTTAAACATGATAATGAAATAGACCCATAGGCAAGGCTCTTGTACGATTTAGGCATTTGTAGTTGTATATGTGTGTATGACAAATGAACGAGTTTAAAGTGAATTTAGTTAAAATTAAAACACGAGAAATATTTGAAGTAATAGTAGGTTAAGTATCTCTGTGTCACGTGGTTTTCTTTGTTTACCTTTAGTTAATTACCTAAACAGATGGACTATAGCTTCACTGATGGACATACAGACAGACTGATTTTTGTCATTTCAAAAGTGCTCATATGTATGTGCTGTAACTGAAATAAATCAATACTTAACTGATTATGAAATATACAAAACAATTCCCAAAGTAAAACTAAATAACTAGTTGCATTATCGGTAGAATTTGCTCCTGTATTTGTAATGCTATATAAATTGATTTATTTGTTCGCAGAGAGAATCTGGAGCTGATGCGCAGCCTCGGTGACAGACAGGCCATGGGCCGGGCGTGCGGCAACTTGGGCAACACGTGCTACCTGCTCGGCGACTTCGCGCGCGCCATCCGCTACCACACGGAGCGCCTGCAGATAGCGCGCGACTTCGGGGACAAGGCGGCCGAGCGGCGCGCCAACAGTAACCTCGGCAACTCACACATATTCCTCGGACAGTTTGAAAACGCCGCAGAGCATTACAAGTACGTCCACAACGATTAAGTTTTAATTTGCACTTTATTACATGTACTTATTGTATTATGTTATTTAACGAACACAATATGTACGAAATGTGAGTAGAATTAGAGAGTTGTATGCATGTTAAGAATGTAATTAGCATGCATATTTCTTACTGTACATGGAATGTGCAACTCTACTTAGTTTAATTATTCGAAACATGTTTTGTGCCTGATAGTAAGTAACAAAGCTATGCGATTACTAAGTTGTTACATGTTTAGTTAGTATGTACATAACAATATGCATGAGAATGTCGTCTGACGAGGTCGGCAGCTACAGTTCGATTGCCACTCAAATACAATCCAAGATAGCATTTAATATGAGGAACAGTGCAGGTTACCAGCAACCAGCTTTATTGCGATTTGTATTACATCTGCTGCTGCTCACTTATTTTGCTAAGCTCAATATTATATTACTGTAGCTAAAATGTATTATTACTTAAATTTACTAAAAAAAATATGTTTAGGTTTTATAGGGTATATCATGTTTACTGATATACCCCATAAAACCTAAACTATCTGATAGTAAGCAATTGGCACCACCTAGTCGCGGGTATTCAATTTTCTTAGGTGGTGTCACTAGTGCCTTACGGCCGGTTATTAGGAAAGAGGTAACCTCACTCGCACAGCAAAACACAACACGAGCGTTGTTTCATGCCGATGTTGTGGGGTGGTATCCACTCATAACTCATGGATATTTTTTATTTAAAACATAAAAAGATGACTATAATGCTTTGCGCTGTAGTTATATAATTTTCACATCTATTGCTCTCTTGATGCTGTCGGAATGGTATTAAGAATGATCAGCTTAGTCCAGTTATGTTTTGAGATTGGGTCCCATTTTATTGTACGCAGCAATAATTCATACAGTAATAACAATAATGCATTCTATGCTGTTATTTTTTTATTGTCTGAATTCGCGAATATTTCACAGTGGTGCTGGCGATTTATCCATTAATAATGCGAATAGAGTATAAAAATATTATGCAAATAATGATGTTTTACAGACCGATTTTAAAATAAGTATTTGTAAGAGCTAGAAATGCTACCTCAATTATCAATTTATCGATTTATCCACATTAGGTATATAATGCACTTGCTGCTTACACAAACATGTGAACCTGATTTATTGCCCGGCGACGGCTACACCTGTTTGTGTTTAGCATTGTTATGCCATTATTAACGCAATAAGAGAATGAAATAAGATAAGTTCAGTGGTTAAGCAATGTGGTCGGTGTTGCAGACGCACGCTGTCGCTGGCGGAGGAGCTGGGCGACGCGGCGGTGGAGGCGCAGGCGTGCTACTCGCTGGGCAACACGTACACGCTGCTGCGCGAGTACCGCGTGGCCGAGGAGTACCACGCGCGCCACCTGGCGGCCGCGCGCCGCCTACACGACCGCGTCGGCGAGGGCCGCGCCTGCTGGTCGCTCGGCAACGCGCACGCCGCGCTCGGCAACCATGAGAAAGCGCTCTATTTCGCCAACGAACACTACAACATATCCAAAGAAGTGAGTTCTACTCGTACTCGTACCGGTAATGCGCCACAAAGACATTGTTGTTACATTACTTGTGGAACAAATGCTTATTACCTCGTTCATGACCTAGGACATTTTAAAAGAAAAAAATTGAGAAATATTGATAAATAAATATTTACTGTTTCTAGCAATGCCCAGTATATAGCAATAGGCTCACCCTCTATAACATGGAACTTATAACACAAATAGGGAAGAATGGGTATATATTGTATATATTGTAGTGGCATTAAGTGCCGTAATGCACATTACCTCTGCCTGCCCCTTCAGGGATGTATACCTGATTCTTCGCCTTTTAAAACGTGATGTTATGTTAAGTTGCTATAGAACATCACATGTTATTATCACTTACAATTACTATCCCCTTCATACTTGCATTCTTACTGGGTGTAACGTGTATTTAATTGAAAACAAACAAAACATTGCGTGAACCTCTGGCCTATATATTCTAAATATTTGTTAAAGACCACGCAACAGTGCTCTCGCGATAGCCCTTTAATCTGAAATCTCTAACACACCTGCGAAACGTGGAGATGGTGTCAAAAACCCCTCTTTTGTAGAAGAGGCCCATAGTCCAGTAAACGTTAGTTGTAAATGACCTATTTCATAACCAGAGCCGAATTAAATGTACCTACAGAGCGCCCTAGGCGCCCCTAATTTGTTTGGTGCCGTTGTCAACTCTGTGTCGCGTCTCGCGGCGCCCGTCTGCAGCCTGGCACCTTCGACAAATCGGCAATAACAAATTGCCTACTGCGAGTTTATTGTACGTTAATATGATCAACACGTTTTTGATGTTCGACGCTCTGATTGGCTGGTCCAAATTAATCAACCAATCAGAAGGCTAAACCCGGTAACTTTTCGAACACATTACCGTAAGGATAACACACACCCAGTAGTTATATAGTAGTGTATAGTAGAGAATTAATACAGTTCGATGAATACCTTTAAGTTTGTCACCTAACATAACATAAGGTACTTTCTTATCCTTCCTCTCTTTCTCCGATCCAATATCACTTAATTGAAACAATAATATTTTGTTGAATTTCTTTAGACTACACGCACAATTTACTTCGCGCTCTATTTTTCTTTATGTAACTCTATGTTAAAAATTATCATTAAGAAAAAAAAGACGATAAATAATGTCATGTTTTGGTAAAAATCCACCATTTGAATGATTTGTAAGGTGGGTTCAATTCATCTCGAACGAATTTTTGGCGGTTATTTGGCAGTATATGCATGATATCCTGCTTGTCAGCAAAGGGTATGTTGTGCTTCTTTCTTTCTTCTGCGTTCTTAACTTTTAAGGCGACTAGTCTTATAAGGAATATTCATCCCCCTCGGTAACCTGCCGCTTCAGTTATCGTGTATAAGGCAAATCCTCTATTATTGTAACGACAGAGACATTAAGGTCCAACGAAAGCAGTCTGTAGTGATCAACATGTGACAACAGAGGTTGTGCCTCGGCATTTATAACAGAACTCAATATGCTACTGACAAAAATGCAGTCATCTCTGGTAGAATTGAAACAATTTGTTCCTTGACTTTTCCTCTATGTGTGTGAATCAGTCTTTCAAAGCTTTATGATAACATCCCGCATGATAGTAAGGGGGCACTGAGCATTCAGTGTTTCAAAGTTAGCTGGCACAGAGCAGCCGCTTAGTGCCAACTACAGCAATATTCTCTAGCGATATGTTTACGGCTCGATAATTAAGGCGAGGTTTACCAATCCTTGTCTGGAGGAAGTATGCCGTCTGTATGGCAATAGGATCACCATCTACTACAATGGGACTCAACATATTTAACCTGAAGGCTTATTTATAAAACTATTGCAACTCGTGTACCCCAGAATCTACTGTTTATACAACCTTGAAAACATCGAAACACTGAAAGCGTCTCAGGAACATGAGTAACTGTCTTGGATTCTCACTGAATTAAATAAGAAGATATCATTAGAGGAGAAAAAGTAAAAAATTTAAATAAGTAAAAATTGGAAGCACTTTAAATGATTCTCATTGCAGAAAGATGGATAATCCCTATATTATTAGTTACTATTAAAATCTAAAGCCTGTACAAACTATAAAAAAGTAGCTTCTGCCCGCGACCTCGTACGCGTAATCCCATTTTTTCCCGTCCCCGTTCGTGATTTTCGGTAAAAAGTAAAAAAAAGTATTGGTTAAAAAGTATCCTATGTCGGTATCCTGGCTCTAAGCTACCTCCCTACCAATTTTCAGCCAAATCTATTCTGCCGTTCTTGAGTTATAAGTGGTGTAACTAACACGACTTTCTTTTATATATAGACTAGCTTCTGCCCGCGACTTCGTACGCGCAATCCCGATATTTCCCGTTCCCGTTCTTGATTTTCGGTAAAAAGTAAAAAAAAAGAATTGGGTAAAAAGTATCCTATGACCGTCTCCTGGTTCTAAGCTACCTCCCCACCAATTTTCATCCAAATCGATTTAGCCATTCTTGAGTTATAAATAGTGTAACTAACACGACTTTCTTTTATATATATAGATGTAAAGATGTAATTAAAACCAAAAATAGGTTAGTAAGCCAATATAATACCTGCCAATATAGGCGGCGCGCGCCGTGCCTAATGCGTCGTATATCTGTCTGGAGCTCGTGACGCGCGCGGGGTCAACAACAACAATATTGTCGGAGGCTTCGGTCGTCCACGAGTGCAGCCGACATCAGTCGATCGGATACGAACCTTTCGCGCCAAAATCTGAACGGTGTGGTTGGTAGGTTTAGGTACCGTCACGCATGCGCCCTTATATTAGCCTGGCTACGGCTAACAGGTAACTTGTTGAAAGCCGACGTCATTTCCCGAACGCGAAACCCCGCTAACACAAAAGCACAACATTAGCGCGTAAGGAAACTCGCGCGGCTCTTTAAGAAATCAAATTAAAATTGAAAATATTTTTTTCGCGACCATTCGTATAATAGAGGTCGTCGTTGAGCGAAATTAAGTAGTATCCTGTAAAGGTGAGATATTGGAATCATAGTCGAGCACCGGCCGGGGTCCGGCGGCCAGCTCCGCTATTGGTGCAGCGAGCTAGATACTGCACACGTCAGCGCGCGACCCGGTAAAGTGATTGACCTATCTAGATCGAGACTTATTGCGTACCTCCGTAGTCACTCGCCGCCGACCTACGACATTCATCTCTCTGTACTCTTGTCTTCGAAAGGTAAGTATAATTCATTGTAAGTACATGTAAAACTACATTTTGTATTGTTAGTATCGATCTGATAGAATGCATAATTAAGTGACTAGCTCGTGTAATTACTGACAATACAAGTTGATGACTTTATTCGTAGCATAAGGCGCGTTGGGAATCTTTTATAAGCATTGATTCGATATACTACCAATTATTTTTATGCACACTGAGTTTTATATTAATTTTATAAAATAATAAATATGAAATATTGATGAGCTTTACAATATTTTAGACTAATTGAATAACTTCAAATACATTTTTTTAAAACTAAAGATATGATATGAAAATGCACGTAAATAACCGTGATGAAATATATTTTATCGAAGGCAGTGTGTGAGTAGGACTCCTAGTCTCACAAAGCCTTCGATAGTGTGTGTCGTGGTCTTGTGGTTAGCCAATGGGTAGCTCATTATCGGCGCACCGCCACCTCCGCCGCAGCCTCAGAACATCCCAACCACGCTAATGCTGTGTAGTACTTATTACCGCCACTACCTGCCGACACCGTGTACATGTATAATTGTATATATTTTATATCGGGACAGTAGCCCACTTCATGTACTCACTACCAGTAACGTTGTACTTGCTGGTTTGAATCACATGTGCTTATTTCTTAATTCCTAATGTTAAAGCTAGTAATCAAACGAACATTGACGTGGACCACTTAGGGGGTTGTTAAGCGTATAAAACACGATTTACATCCGATTTTCAGACTGCTCCGTTTTTGCCCAGAGGAGTTTTATTATACGAGAGTTTTAAAAATTGTAATGAGCGTAGAAGTACGTATACATGAAATAGAAAATGTACAATTAGCGTTGTGCTTGTAATTGAAACTGCTTTGAGTGTGGCGCTCTGTAGTTTCTGCTTACTCCCACGATACAAGAACGCAATTTATGTAGAATTGTAGACACATAATAGACTACTTCTGATAAGTGCTCAGGTTAAATATATCCAATTGCCAAAGTCTCGTGAAGTGTTAAAAATATCCTGTATAACTGTGACCAAATATTAAATTGTCAAAATGGCGAAAACAGAAAGATAAGTGTAAGCTACATCTTACAATTAGGATCTACAACGTTTAACGTTGAGCTCGGCCGTCGGTGCCGCGGCACATTTCTATTGCAACTTAATATAATTATTCAAGTGGAACATTTTGGGGATTGGATATTTTAACATCATCGTTGGACATTGCGACGCGGAACCATTCAGTTAGCACAAACTGACACATTATAGAATGTATCAAATTGGAGTCTAATTGTTTTTTAAGTATATTATCCATTTAAAAATTGTTTACTCGAAGCAAAATTTAAAAGTTATTAAGCATGTATCAGTTGAGCAACAAGTGTCAATCAACGTGTCCAATAAGAGAATATTTCATTCGAAAGAGGTATGTAAAAATAGTAACTGGTGTTCCATAGTCTCTGCCTACCCCATGGGAGACTGGTTTGAGGTTATGTAGAATAATTATTGTATTGCCAAGTTTGAAACCAAAGTAATTTTATTAAACATGTTACTGTGCATTTTAAGTGTAACCCTTTAGAGAAAATGTTATACGAGTTTTTCAAATTACGTATTCTATGCGAACGTTAAGGGTCCTTCGTAAATAGCACCCAAGGAGCGGGCTGCTAGACGGCGCGACGACTTGATGGCTCACTTCAGTCGCGAGGCGAACTCACGGGCCTTGCTGACTCACAAGATATTGAAATGAACTGCTCTTTACCATACCTATATATATAGGGCCTACTTTACTAGTCGAGAACTTGCCTTGAATATGTACCGACCTCTTTCGAAATGCTTCTTTTAGTATATACAGATTCATCATCATCATGCATGTAGACATGATGTGTCTTTTGATGAGAGCATCACAAATAAATACGCTGTTGCATGATTGCTCCCTGCCCAGCCTACACAATGTGTTCAGCGTTAGAGCAGCAGTGTAGCCTAGGTAGGACGCAGCAAACGTTTTGGTTGACGCCGCCCGCCGCGCGCAGGTCGGTGCAGTGCCATGTTTGTTTTGGGAGGTCTATTTCTTTCTCTGTCCCTCAATAAACCCATTCTAGTTGACCTACTTCCTGGACTGTATTCCGGTTATCTTTGTTTTTGCTTACGAGATGATTGCGATTCTACTTACCTAATTAATAACATAATGACAATAAATTCATTAAATTCCGTTGGTTCGCGTTAAGCGTTGGGTACTTAGTAGTAGTACACTTTTTGTTTCACTACATTATCTTAAAGGAAATATTAATCTTCCTAAATCAAGACGTGCCGTAAACATGCATAAATTAGCTGCTGTTCGAACACGAAGTGTATCGGAATAAATAAACGGTCTGATACGATGTGCCGTGCTTCGTGTGCCAGCGAGCTTAAATGTAATTTTGTACAATGATCCTACTTTGATAGCCTCTTTCGTTACTAAGAATAGCATTTTGTAATTTAGAATGCACATAATAGGGGCTACGCTATCGACCCAATTACTAGAAAATACGTTTCCCAGCAATTTGTGGTGTGCATAGCTAAGTCGCCTCGTCGGACGTCGATGTTTAGACAGCGATTAACCTATTCTTGTCGGAATACGTGAACGGTCACGCGTATAGTATCGATTGAATCGAACCTGTTGTTGTGGAAGTGCAGTGGCTACATCACTTAATTGTTTGTGTAGTTGGGTGACGTACTCGGGATGGCGACGGCCCAAATGAATATTGGCGATCTGCGCAAGGTGCTAGGGATGCCGGCGGAGGCGGACGACTCTCCTCCCGCGCCTCCCTCCGACGATGACAGCGCACCCCGCACTCCGTTCAATGCTCTACGAGTCCGGAGACAGAGCATGGAACAACTATCCCTGATACAGGTCAGAAAATGTTTTGTTTCTATTTGTTTACATTAATTATTAACTATTTAAAAATAAAGATATACAATATAGACCAATGTTTATGTCACAGATTACTCCTGACGCCAAGAAGAACGAGAAAGAACCGGAACCAGAAACGAAAAAAGAGATCGCGCGCACTGAATCCGAGGACAACCCAGAATCGTTCTTTGACCTGGTGCTGCGGTGCCAGTCGGGGCGCATGGACGAGCAGCGCGCCATCCTCAACAGCAACAAGGAGAACCGGCACAAGCCCAAGCCCAACGCCACCAAGATACAGAACATGGGGTGAGTCGCACATTCTACAACAATACAGGCCAGGCCTACACTATATGAGACTTTGCCACAATCTCCACTCAGGCACTTAAAATGTACAGTTTTATCAGAGTGCTGCTACTTGTTCTCTGTTAAATGTATAGTTTCATAATCGGTTGTTATTATACCCACCGGAACAGAAGAGGTAGTGACAAATATTTTCTCCTCTTCTGTCACCACACTATCAATAGTGTGTGTAATGGTTAATTAATACTATAATAATAATAATACACGTAATCGTAACATTACACAAGTCAACGTTTCGGTTCTAAGTCCCTTTTCTATTATGTTAGAAGTTGATTGTAACCTGTTGAGGATCTGACCTGTTGCGCTAGTACTAATAAACTCCGTAATACTTTTAGTAACCCCAGTATTGAACCCAACAACATTCAGCGAGCGGTTACACATGCAAGTACTGAACCGACGCTTAAGTTGTTCAGCCCGCATTTCACCCAAGTTTATCTTATTATACTGATATTAAAAAGCTAAGGAATTGTTTGTTTGACCTCGCTAACCTCCAGAACTACTGATCCGAATAAAATAATTTCTTTTATTTTCAAAATGGTCGAGTAAGGTTAAATAGGTTATATAACACCTCACGCTACGATCATAGAAGTCGAACAGCAGATGAAACCGCGCGGGTTAGCGGTCGGTATATTAACGTCGATAGAAATGAAATGTTAGCGGTAGCGGTGTACCGTGTCTAACTACGATACAGGACTTAGCTACCGCTAGGTATACTCGTGTTGCGTCCGCTAGTACAAGTCATTCATATCCCCAGGGACTGGAGGGTAATATCTCAGACACACGCTGTTCTCTTGACCGATTTCATTATCAACGTAGTGCGAACGGCCAGTCGTCTGTTATCTCATTATGATCTCCATATCTAGTAACAGCACACTGTTATCAACAGTTTCCAGCTGCGCGTGCCTCTCGCCGCCTCCTCCACGAATGACGACACACTGCTTATACGAGCTACTCGTTTAGATATTATATCTTTCTACAAAAATCCATTTTCATAGTGACGGTCTCATCTATATACCGTGTGGGTTGCACCTGTAGTTACTTTCGTTATAATACATCCGGGAGGCTTGCTGTCGAAAGCTAGTGATGAAGGCTCACGATGAAGATAACAAGGGGTGGGTATTCATAGTATTGCTGTTTATAAATTGAATGCTCACTTGTCTCTTTTCTTCTATTGCCTGATATTAAGTATTTTGTAATGCTATAGGCAAACAGAGATGGTGTTTCAAAAAATATTAACTTATTGTTTCTTTATTGACTTAAGCATAAAAACAAAGTAGTTTTAGTAATGTTTCACCAAGGTCACGATATGTTAACACGTATGACGCCGAGCCGTGTGAGACGCGATGATAATTTGCCTCGCACGTCTCTGAAATATTTGCGAGCTAAGTGTTATTTTGGAGGAGCATTTGTCACCTGTTGTGTGGTATCTTAAAGAACATTTCAAGCTAGAACAGGCATAAATCAAAACCTTTATGTTAGTTAGTGCTACAGAACACTTTTATTAAGTTTTCTATTTATTAGCAAATATTTATATATATATATATATATGTACCTATAGTTCATTATAGTGTAGTAGATAGTGTGAATAGTGGTTTATTATTAATGGTGATATAACGGCGGTAGGTCCAGCGACACGATGCTGGACATGATCAACAGCATGCAGTCGGAGCGCATAGACTCGCAGCGCGCCGAGCTGCGGCCCGCGCAGAAGGCGGCGGGCAAGGAGCCGGGCCCCGGCACGTCACTGCCCGGGCTGCGCGCGCAGCACACCACGCACTCCAAGCCCGAGGACGACTTCCTCGAGATGATCGCGCGCGTGCAGGGCTCCCGCCTGGAGGACCAGCGCACGGAGCTACCGCGCCCGCGCCCCGAGCCCGCCAAGCCGCGCCCGCGCCCCGAGAACAGGGGCACTCTGCCCGATGATGACTTCTTCTCGCTGCTCATGCGGGCGCAGGGAGGCCGCATGGAGGACCAGCGCGCTGCAGTAACTATTTCATTATACTAGACCAACCACAAGTTACAATCTCGCCTTGTTCCCTCGTTATGTTAAGGTCGATTGCATTCGTAATTATTGTACATTGTCTTATACTCAACTTTTCGTCATCACCAATCCAAGGATTTTGAATTAAGATATGTCACATTTCATTCAAATTATATTTGTTTGATTACAGATCCCAATAAAAAACAACAGCGCTCCCAAGAATGACACCAACGCGAAGAAGTAAATACATGTTGAATGGTGTTGTACGCGACACGCGCGACATGTCTCCTGTCCAGCGATGCGATATATTATTTGAATTAGTGTTGGTTAGGTTGTCGCTCGTTGTACATTTGTATAGTAGTTTGCACGCGAGTCATGTCAGCGGCCTAGCACTAGCGACCGACTTCAATCACATCGACTGCCTCCTGCCAACAACATGTAACCTACGAAGGAAACATATTTTCTTTAGTATTTGCATATCAACATAATTAAAATAATGAGGTGCTATATAAATATGTACCACAGCTGCAACGGGAAACAGTATTGTGTATAAATGGGGTACTGTAATAAGACTTAGTATTTTCAAATTTATTCAACTATTCTGCAATGCTAGTTCATTATGGTAATCTAGGTTTGCAATGCTATCTCCCGTTGAAACAGTGTTAAATATTGTTATAGCTCCTGATACAAAATTAGATTTAACAAAGAAATTGCATATTAATATGTTTTATAATGTAAAATTGCGGTAACTTGCGGTCTAATAAAAACTAAGGATAATTTTGTTAACAAAGATCCGGCCTCTATTTAATAGATTTACTATAATAAAGATGATTATTAGTTGTAATGTTTCGTTTGTGTTCACGACACAGTGCATGGCGCGAGTAGCGACACGCGGCGAGGCTATACCTAAGTACACAATGCTACAATATTCGTCCGTTGCTAAATTATTTACTTTGCTACGTAAGTGCCTGACGTGTTCGTCTTTGTTGTTACAATCTAAGCTAACGTTCTATGGACTGCGCGTTTATATTATTATGTACTCATTCTAACTCGATATGTTATACGACTATAAATATTAGTTTTACTACATGAATTTTTCAATCATGCGTTTTTCTTGTTAACAATCCTATGTATTTTGAATAATTATGAATAACTTTAAAATACTTTGAATCGAAGTTTGTAATGTAAATTATGATAGTGCTCCACTATTGGCAATAATTTAATTTATAAATTGATAGTTGTAAGCGGTAAGTGTAGGTAAGTGACGTGACAGCGGGACGCGTGGAGCACGCGCCGCCCTGCGTTCCCTGACCTTGTGATGATGTTTCATCTTTGTCTACGTAATTATACACTTTATACCCACAAGTGATCTTATTAACTGATTGTGATTTTATGTATTTATTTTTACTCAATGAATTACTCCAGTTTCATATTGTTTACCAAAAATATTAACGACTGTAGTTAGTTTTTGTTATTTTGTATACAATATTCATTCCAAATGCATTTAGGTACTATATTATAATGTATACAAATGTGTTCTATTTACAAAAATATTTTCTATTGAACAACTAGTATGGAGATGAGGACTTGAACTATTGACTGTTATTTTTATGAATGATCGAATAGTAGCTAGTACACGACACATGAGCGCCCAGCGGAACGAACTAGTGGTGACACAACACTATTGACTCACCCTCGCAGACTAATCTTCACAACTACATGTACGTGCTGTAATATTTTTGTAGTGTCCCCTTTGGCAAACCACCACCATTCAAATTGTAGTATTCTGTCAACTTGTGTTATTAATTCCAAAAAATAAGTTCATGTGTACGGACATAATATAATAATGAAACGAGGCATTGCGGCCATAATTGGCCAACTTTTGAGTAATGTCGCGGTGGAGATGAGTCTTGTAAACATTATTACTTTAGTCGGATCGAAGAATCTTACTAGTTAGGATATATATTTCAAATTTTTAACATAAATTTGTACAATGAACGATTTGGCATGATTCTTATTACTATTTTATGTTCATTGTAAATAATCTAAATTTATATAACGTAAGAAATTGTTAATGTAGGCCAATAAATGCCAAACTACACATTTGAACTGACATGCTTGTTTTATTTACCTCATCATTATTGAATGGCCTTTACCAGCCCTGTAATCGTGCGGATATTATCCCTAAATAGGTAGAACAATAGGTGAACAATGTCATTGATTTAATAGATCAAGGAACCTTTTTGAAACTACGTTTAACAAACCGAATACAACCCCCTCTTTTTTAATACGTTAATTATTATACTAGAACCTTCTCCTAGGTATAACAAACACTTAGGTGTCTGATAACCGCATCAAATTCAATTCAACCAATCGCGCACAAGCATACATACAAAGAGGTCAAACTGAGAATCTTCGTTTTTAAGTCGGTAAAAAAGATCAAGATACCAAAGGAACCACAGAAACGCCACCATGTCGGTCCGAGTACAGGTAGTGGTAGTACGGTCAGAACACGAGGGATATTCCTTTGCAGCGAGGTGTGAGGCAAGGAATCTCCAAAGTTGTTTACCGCTGCATTGGAAGACGCTTTCAAGCTCATAGAATGGAAATGGAAAGGATCTAGCATCAATGTTAGCGCAACTACGAGAACCTATACGACGACATAATGGTTCTATAACCACAAGGGAAGATCCAGGCACAATGCTCGAAGACATCTATCGAGTTCCATAACAGGTAAAGTTTCGATTGAAATTGAACATGAATTAGACAGAAGTCATGTCGTATGCTACGTCCTATCCATAGATGTAATTCTGGTCCTACCCGATATTAGTTGGTAGCTCTATCCTCCAAATTGTTGACGAATATGGTATACCTGGAGTAAGTGATCCAGTTGGGTAAATGCAATTTCTAGGAGGTTAATCGTCGAAACAGATTTGAATGGGTAACATTCGGAGCACCACACAACATCTTGTCCTCAAGACCAAAATTTTATAATATATGTGTTACCACTAACTATGGATACCCAATCCATGACTGCACGGTTGGCGCGGTGGCTGGGCAACTGGCTGCCGCGCAACGTGTCGCGGGTTCGATTCCCGCACGGAACAACTCTTTGTGTGATCCACAGATTGTTGTTTCGGGTCTGGGTGTCATGACATGTGTATGTAGAATTGTATGTGTGTAAACGCACCCACGACACAGGAGAAAACCGTAGTGTGGTGCGACGTTTAAAAAAAAATCTTTCCAATCCTCGAATCCCCAACACTCCTCAAATTCCGGCCGTAACGGGTCAAATAAGGCCGGTAACGCATTGGCGCCAATTGCTTACCATCAGGTGAACCACCTATTCGCTTACCGGCTTATTTCATAAAAAAAATGGAACTGAAACGTTGGCTCTCATTTTGGGCCTTATAAAAAGAGTGTGGAACGTAATATAGAATCACGTTTGTACGACACTACTGGATGCAGAAAGCATGGCTCATAGAAATGTCCATTCTCAGAAAGCACGTTTCGCCGAAAACTTTATTGTTAGAAAATATTGTTCGTAGATATCTCGTTCCATAGAAAGCACTAGCCATAGAAATCTTTATTCCTAGACAGCTCGTTTTGCCAAAACCTTTGTTGGTAGAAAATACTATTCGTAGATATTCTGTTCATAGATAGAATTTTTCACCTTGATTCACAGAAAGCAAAGGTAACTATGAATATGCATATGAACAAAATGGAAATAAAGGTATTTGTTTGTTTATCCTAGATAAAAAAAAAAAATTGTCATATGAATAAATCTGGTATGTTTTTTCTGTCTCTGAGAAAAATCCGTAATAATACTATTGTTGTTATGTGTCTATAATACAATTTTAATAAAACAAAATATACAGTCTTCAGATAATAAGCTGCACTGTCAGTTTCTACGTAGGTTAGGTGATATTCTGATAGAAATAATAACTAAAAATTAAAAAAAAAATATGCACTTATGTCTCGTAAACTTAACGTGCACACGCAATTTTATCTCAATTGGTTAAAGATATCTGCTTCAAAATTAGTGACCATAAATGCTAAGCTGCATATTTTTTTTCATTTTTAGTTATTATTTCTATCAGAATATCACCTAACCTACGTAGAAACTGACAGTGCAGCTTATTATCTGAAGACTGTATATTTTGTTTTATTAAAATTGTATTATAGACACATAACAACAATAGTATTATTACGGATTTTTCTCAGAGACAGAAAAAACATACCAGATTTATTCATATGACAATTTTTTTTTTTATCTAGGATAAACAAACAAATACCTTTATTTCCATTTTGTTCATATGCATATTCATAGTTACCTTTGCTCTCTGTGAATCAAGGTGAAAAATTCTATCTATGAACAGAATATCTACGAATAGTATTTTCTACCAACAAAGGTTTCGGCAAAACGAGCTGTCTAGGAATAAAGATTTCTATGGCTAGTGCTTTCTATGGAACGAGATATCTACGAACAATATTTTCTAACAATAAAGTTTTCGGCGAAACGTGCTTTCGAAATGAGATGGTCCGCAAATGAACTAAAGTCGCCGACATAGTCCCGGCGGACGGCAAGCTTAAGCAAGACGGTTTTCAAAAGGAGACTACGTACTGGCGCGCAGCACAAGACGTCCACCCACAAGTTAGGTGAACGGATGACGGTCGCAGGTCAGCCATCGGGAGATATTTATTCAACGTTGAACGTCATGGTTGATATATTGATGACGGCTGCACTGCAATACAAAATCTTAATTAGCAAATTATGACATATCACCGACTTGGGGTATAAACAGTAAAAAGTGTTTGTCTTTTAACTCTGACCCCCGAATCAATTTACTTCTCACAGGCGCGAAATTTAAAATAGAATCTTTGAATTGAGAATAGGACGTCTTTTTTATTGCGAGCCGCAGCACCGCAGGTTGAATATAGTAGCACCGATCCGGATCATGAACACACATAGGTAAGCACTACTACCTACCTTTATGTACATAATAGGTGGTACCTATGCTCTATTGTTTAAAGTATCGATAACGTATTATTATTATTTGAGTTTTGATACCTACGTATACAGGAGCTGCAGCTCCCTACTTCTTCTGGATAGGTGCTCTGGCGGCTTGGCAATGTTGCCACTACACCCACCTAATGCACACGAGTAAACTGCACCTCACTCAGTGAGCCGCCATTTTGGACACTTCGAACGCTGATTGATTTTGACTGTTGACTTATCGAAAA